CCGTAACGCAAGCCTATTTTTCAAACTTTCGTCGTCTGTGGGATTTGAACCCTAGACCTGCTACTTGGAGAGGGTGATAACTTGACCACTTCACTAAGTCGCCACACCCCCTAGATATGTTTATTTATTAATAATACAATGCTTAAATACAAAGCTATTTATAGTTATCTATTTCTATAGAATCTTAATATATTAGAACATTGCAGAGAACAAATTCTAAAGTCAAAGAAAGAGTAAAAGCTAGGGTTTATATAGCTTTTACAACTAATATAAAATATATAATAATAAAGATACAAAGGTAGAAAAGATATAAAAAGTACTAAAAGTATAAAAAGTATAAAAAGTACAAAAGGTATAAAAGATATAAAAGATACAAAAGATATGAAAGAAATGAAAGATATAAAAGATACAAAAGATATAAAAGATATAAAAGATATGAAAAATACAAAAAGTATGAAAAATACAAAAGATATGAAAGGTATAAAAAATATTATAGTAAAACTATTTCTTGATTATCTAGCTAACCAATAGTTCATTCATTATATATTGTAGCTTGTTTTGATCATTATGATCTTCTGGACTTAATAGAGATGAAATCTCTAATATATTTTACAATATTAACACATTCTATAATATTTTTATTATCTTTTAAAATGAACTTTGTAAGTTAATAGTTCAGGAAAAATCTATAGTCTAATTTCCGCATATTTTATTGATCATGATTAATTTAAAATAAAATATATACTGTTTTTTTTTTGATAAATTCAGTAATCTTGTTAATACTTTATCAGTATAATATGTAGGCTTATGAGAAAGTATAATATATTGACTGAAGTCTATCTAATTTTTTTAAATATTTACTAATTTAACTCTTTGCAACATCAAGGTGTTCAAATTGTCCATGTTTAATCTGCCATAGTAAAGCTTATCTCTATATTAACTATTCTGTAAATAGATATTTTAATAATTCCTTGAATAGATTTACAGCCTATCAAGATCATCTCCTTTTCTAACCTTCTTCTTTTAGCTTCCTAAGCAAAAGGATTTATAGTCTCTAACTGATTTATAAAAAAAAATACTAATACTAAAACAAAAAAAAGTTGATTCTTCTATAATTGATAAAGTTCAAAATTATCCTACATCTTGTAATCTTACCAAACTTTGAGAATTTATTGATTTAGCTTCTTATTATTGAAGGTTTATTTTTAAATTTTTACAAATTGTTCACTTTTTAAACACATTGTTAAAAAAAAAAAAATCTTTTATTTGGACTAAAACCTGTTAACAAGCTATAGATTTCTTGAAAGAAAAATTAACAACTGCTTCTATTTTACAATATTCTGATTTTGAAAAACTATTTATACTTTTTACTGATGCTTTATACCAAGGCTTGGGTGCTATTCTTGCTCAAAAGAATGATGATAATAATGAATATGTAATAGCATATGCTAGTAGATTTCTAAATTTTGCTGAAATTAATTATTCTCCAACTAAAATTAAATGTCTTGCTGCAGTTTGGGGAATAGAATATTTTCGACCTTATATTTATATGAAACCTTTTGACCTTATTACTGATTATTTAGCACTTTGTTAGTTGCTAAATTAGCCTAATTTGGCCAAAAGAGTTACTCACTGGATATAATATATAGCTGACTATTCTTATATAGTTATATATCACAAGAGACAAGTCTACTCAAATGTGAATACACTTTTTTGTCTTCTTAGAAAGCCACCCTAGAAAAACTATCAAACACTCTAACCAAAATGGAATCTACACTTTATCTTAATTTTGTGAAATATCTAACAATTTCAGAATTACCTCCAAATTTAACTTTAAAGAAACAACAACAATTTAAAAAACAAGCAACATATTATATTGTTGAAAACAACTAACTATACAGAAAACCAAAAGGATCTTTACAAAAATTATTATATATAGTTCAGGAATTTAAACTGCTTGCTGTTTTATATAGATTACATTCTGATCTTCTTGCTAGACACTTTGGCATTAATGAAACTTATAATTGTGCCTAAAATATATAAAAGTATTACAAGCTATATTCAAACTTGTAATACTTGTCAATAGCAAAAAGGAACAAAACAAAATTAACTCTTATATCCTCTACCAGTATCAGCACCATTTCACTAAGTAGGAATTGATATTGTTGGACCTTTAAAAATCATCTCTAATGGAAATCAATATATTGTAGTAGCTACTGAATATCTAACAAAATGGCCTGAAGCTAAAGCTATACCTAATATAAAAGCTACTACTATTGCCAAGTTTATTTATGATGAAATTATTGCTTGTCATGGATATCCTCAAGAGTTATTATCTGATCAAGGTTCTTCTTTTTGTAATAGTCTAGTTGATGCTATTTGTCAACTAATAACAATTAAACATCAACTTGCTTCTGCTTATCATCCTCAAACTAATAAATTAACTGAAAGGTTTAATAAAACTTTGTATACTATGTTAGCAAAGTATGTTAGTGACTATGAGAATTCATGGAATACTTTTATTCCTGCTGCTCTATTTGCCTACTGAACTATTTCTCAATTTACTATCAAATATGAATCTTTTGAATTGCTTTATAGACAAAAAGCTATTACACTATTAGATTTAGCATTAAATTCTACAAATAATGCTAAGGAGCCACCTTATAAACAGTAATTTCAAGTTTATATTGATTTTATAACAAATAAATTACAGCAAGTCCAGTTAAAAGCTTAACAAAATATTGAAATAGCTCAACAAAAACAAAAACAAAAGTATGACAAACATGTTAAAGAAATTTTATTCCATATTGGAGATAAAGTATTGTTATATCGATCTGCCCAAGCTAAAATTCATAGTGATAAATTTCGAGAAAAATAGAAAGGTTCTTATTATATTCATAATATCATTGCCCCAAGATTCGTTTTATAGATAACAAAATTCTAAAAAGAGCAATTAATGCTAATTGCTTAAAATTATACTTTGATTGACCACTATGGGAACCTACTATAGTTATTAGTTAAAAACAATATCCTATTTTCATTTTTTTTTTTTACTTTTCATTTTTTTAAAACTTTACTAAAAATTTATTGACAAAAAAAAAAAAAACAACTCTTTTTTTTTTTTAATTTTCTTCATTATTTTTTTTTATTTTTTTTTTTAATATTTAGGTGACCACTTAGGCCCCTGGCACTTTATTAGTTCAAACGAGTGGGCTGTCC